CAAAGCCTTTCATAATCAATTTAGCTTTGTACTTTGGTTGTGATCAATATTTTTCAGTCTTCTACCTGAAAACTCACTTGTTCTTCAAGGCCATCATTCCCTTTGGTAGTAACACCAAATCATAAGTGTGGTTCTTCTGAAGAGCTTACATCTCTTCTTATATAGCAACTAACCACTTCTTTTTTTGCTCACTTTCAACTACTTCTTGGTAACTCTCTGGTTTACCTACATTAGTAAGCATCACATACTCATCTGTAGAGTATCTTTTGGAAGGTTGACGTTGTCTAGAAGATCTTCTCAACTAAGGTTCTATAGGAAGTTGCTCTCCAACTTCTTCTTGCTCAACATGTCCCGTAGGTAGATCAACATCAGGCTCTATACCATCTTCTTGCATATCTCCCCCATCACCCTGATATACTAAAGGAGTAATTAGGTCATAATCTGCTAATCCTTCTACAGAAGCCTTGGTTGGTGCCTTCTTCTTCAAATCCTGAAAGGTTTGATCCTCAAAGAAGATTACATCTATGCTTCTAAACACCTTCTGCTTTTCTGGATCTCAAAGCCTGTAACTAAAATAATCATGTGAGTAGCCAAGAAAAATACATTCTTTAGTCTTACCATCCAGCTTGAACCTTTCATTGTCTAGAATATATGCAAATGCACGACAACCAAACACTCTCAAATGCCTAGAGAAAATATCTTTCCCTGATCATACATGCTCTACAACATCACCATCTAGGGTTGTATATGGTGACAATTTGATCACATCAACTATAGTCCTCAAAGCCTTATCCCAAAATATTTTGGGTAGCTTGACCTGTGAAAGCATACATCTGATCTTTTCTATGATGGTGCGGTTCATCCTCTCTGTAATAGCATTATGCTGAGGTGTACCAGGAACTGTCATCTCATGTTGAATCCCATGTGACCTGCAATAATCATTAAATAATCTTATGTACTCATCACCATTATCTGATCTTATGCATTTCAATTATCTTTCTATCTCTCTTTCAACCCTAGCATGAAATTCTTTGAAGACATTAATAACCTGATCTTTAGTCTTCAAAGCATAGGCCCAAACTTCTTTAGAAAAATCATCTATAAAAGTAACAAAATAATGTGCACCACTAATGCCAAAAACAATAACAGATCCACCATGAGTTTTTATCCTCAAAGGACCATATACATATGTATAAACACGATCTAAGGCATGCATTTTTCTAGACAAAGTAGGACTAGCAAATGAAACTATGTATTGTTTACTAGCCAAACAATCAATATAATAGTTCAAATATATACCTTTAAGGTTTGGCAATACCTCTCTCTTGGAAAGAGCTTGCAGCCTCGTCTCGCTCTTGTGTCCCAATCGCCTATGCCACAACTCCATGCTGAAGTCTTTTTCTATAACATTTAACTGCTCACCATAAGCTTTAGCATGCAACCTGTATAAAGTATGACATTTCTTTCCACTAGCCACAATAAGAGAACCCTTACTGAGCTTCCATTGCCCTCTGTGAAATCTGCTGGCATAGTCTTCATCATCTAACATTCCAATTGAAATTAAATTCAGCCTCAAGTCAACCACATGTTTCACATCCTTAAACACCAACTTGTTAGTCTTTATTTGGATATCACCCATGTCAATGATGTCTGTCGTGCCATAGTTGCCCATCTTGACAACACCAAAATTTTCAGACCTATATGTAGCAAAAAACTCTCTCCATAGTGTAGCATGATAAGAAGCACCTGTGTCAATCACCTACTCAAGATCCTGACACATATAAGAAAAAATATCATCAAAAAGGAGACAAAATCAAATAATCACCCCCCTACACTATAGTTGTGATATTATATTTTGACTACGTAGACTCCACTTCTTTTCCCTTTTTCTTACTCTTCTTAGGTTACTTACATTGATTTTTGTAATTTTCTTTTTCACCATAGTTATAGCAAACAATATCTTTTCTTGATCTTGACTTGTTTCTACCCATGCGTGAATTACTTCTAGACTTTGACCTTCCTTTGTTCTCTGAGATAAGTGCTTGTGAATCATTCTGAGATGTTGTTGAATTTTTTCTTCTCAACTCCTCATTCAACAAACTGCTTGTTACTTGACTCATTGTGACAACATCATCTAGCGTAGAATTACTGAGGGAAACCACTAATGTCTCCCAATTTTTTAGTAATGAACCGAGAAGTAACAATACTTGTAACTCATCATCAAGAGACATTTTCATAGAGGATAATTGATTAGTAATACTCTGCATTTCATTCAAATGCTCAACAATAGAAGCACCCTCTCTATATTTTAGGTTCACAAGTTTTCTGATCAAAAAAACTTTGTTGCCAGCTATTTTTCTTTCATAGAGTCCTTCCAACTTTTTTCAAAGAGAATATGCAGAACTTTCAGTAGAAACATGATGAAAGACACTATCATCAAGCCATTGTCGAATAAACCCAACTATTTTTCGATCTAACCTCTTCCACTCATCATCTGTCATAGTTGTGGGTTTTGCACTATCCCCCTGTAAAGATCTATATAAATCTTTACAATACATGAGATATTCCATTCTTGATTTCCATATCATCCAATTATTTCTATTCAAACTAATCATGTAAGAAACACCACTAGCCTCCATGTTCAAATACAAAATTAAATCACCAAAATCCTGCTCTGATACTAGTTGATAGGATATAAAGAGAAATAAACTTTTGTATATGAATAAATACTAAGAGGTCATAATATGCAGTGGAATTAAATGGAATCACAATCAAATATAATACCAAGATTTATGTGAAAAACCCCTTCAATATGAAAGGTAAAAATCACGAGGCAAACTAGAGATAATTCACTATAAGAATAATAAATATATAAATCTCAATCTCTTGCCCAAAACCCTAACAACAATCACAAGAGAATAACTAGGATACAAGGATCATGTCATTATATATAATATCTAAATTCTCTCTAAGTAATCAAATTTACTATAGATCTAATTTAACTTAAGACGAAAACACTACTTTGTGATTAAGCTGTCCTATTAATTGCAGCAACATTAGTTATTAACATCCTTTAGCTATTTATTAGTTAAGACCCATTTGACGAATCGTGTAGCTAAATCAAAAATCCTTTTTTTTTTTTTTTTGACAAGATTCCAAAGTGTGTACGTTGTCTTGCCATTTACAACTATGTCAGTGGCTTGTCTAGAAAAAATAGACAGATTTGATGGCACCTTTATGGATTGAAAAGAGTTGGATAGAGGAGGAGTATGATTGATACATGGAATGGATAGCTTAGTATGGACGCAGGCCCCCAGACTTTTTTTACATTCGATGGAAAGGCACATACATACATAGAATGCGCCCAAGGGGTCGAGTGTACCCACCACTGCTACTAATGAGTCAAGAGGCATTACTACTTATCTCCGCTCTCCAACCAAGAAGTGACCCTCATTCCTTTTTAATAGACGACTTGTTAGTTGAGTGATTCAACTAATAGCTTTAAAATGTTTTTGAGACTTGGAGGATTGGGGGCATTGGGTGTTCAATCAAACGGAAATGGATAACTACGCAGCAACAGGTCAGGTCAGGTCAGGTCAGGTGTCAACTATGCTCATCAAATTGTTGCCGTCTTGGGACCCATTCCAAATAGTTTGTGTTTTTCCGATTGTCTTAAACCAAGGATTTATTGTCGGACTTTATGTAGATCGCTTTATGCGGAAACAGTCTCTCTACTTGTGGAGATAGTGCCTAAACAGATCTCTCTCTCTCTCTCTCTCTCTCTCTCTTCTCTCT